CAGTACCAGCTCCGTTGATGGACGGCGGAGTAGAGGTTGTCAACCTTCACGAGTACATCGTGAAGATTGACCGCGAGTTCAAGACGCAATGGTACGACGACATCGACGCACCATTGCTATACATACGCATTCATATCGGTGAGGCGACCTGCAGTGCCTTGATCGATTGCGGAGCATCTCGCAACTACATCAGCCAGGACTTCATGGTGCGCGCCGGCCTTGGCCCACGTGTCCGGAGGAAGTCCCAGCCTACGCAAGTCACGTTGGCAGACGGTCATACGCACAAGTCAATCGACCGGTGCATTGACGCTGTCCCCGTGTACTTTGCCCCTCACGCAAGTGAGGCGGTGTCCTTTGACATTCTGGACACCAAATTTGACATGATCTTGGGCATGGCATGGCTGCGAAGCGAGGATCACCCGGTGAACTTCTTCAACCGCACCGTTCACATTCGTGATCGGAACGGAGTACTAGTTCCATGCACGGTGCCTCTTCCTCATCCTTCTATCAACTGCCACGTGGTATCCGCCGCAAGCATGCGAGCATCCATCATCAGAGACGACATCGAGGAGATGGGKGTRTGTTTTCYCSACGCCCTCCCGCCCCGAGACGCTTCATCGACGGACTCATCTTCGGATCCACGCATCACCGAGCTTCTCGACGCTTACAGCGACGTGTTCGAAGGCCCGCACGGAGTAGTACCGGATCGGCCCATCCGCCACGAGATCATCCTCGAGGAYGGGGCCATACCTCCGCGCGGCTGCATCTACCGAATGAGCGAGTAAGAGTTAAGTGTGCTCCGTGCACAACTCGACGACCTTCTAGAGAAAGGTTGGATTCGGCCTAGCTCATCGCCATACGGTGCTCCTGTTCTCTTCGTCCGGAAGAAGAACAAGGACCTGCGGTTGTGCATCGATTATCGCAAGCTTAACGCGCAGACGATCAGGAACGCCGGCCCTCTCCCACGCATCGACGACCTTCTCGAGCGATTGGGCGGCGCCCAGTTCTTCTCTAAGCTGGATCTCAAGTCAGGGTACCACCAACTCGAGATTCGCAAGGAGGATCGCTACAAGACCGTGTTTAAGACACGGTATGGGCATTTCGAATGGCTGGTCATGTCGTTTGGCCTTACGAATGCCCCAGCCACTTTCCAAGCGGCTATGACAACGGAGTTCCAACACATGCTGGATCGGTTTGTACTCATCTACCTCGACGACATCTTGGTGTATAGTCGGAGTTTGGACGAGCATGTGGAACACCTGCGCACGTCGGAGTTTGGACGAGCATGTGGAACACCTGCGCACCGTTTTGGAGCGGCTACGACAAGCCAAGTTAAAAGCAAACCGCGACAAGTGCGAGTTCGCACAGCAGGAGCTGGAATACTTGGGACACTATGTGACGCCGCAAGGCATCCGTCCGCTTGCGGACAAGATCGAGGCCCTACGAGTATGGCCCGAGCCCACCAACACCAGGGACGTTCGTTCATTCATGGGATTGGCGGGCTACTATCAACGATTCATCACCGGATACTCCAGGATTGYTGCACCTATGACGAGGTTACAGTCGCCAAAGGTGCCATTCGTATTCGATGATGCCGCACGCCGGTCATTCTAAGCACTTAAGACGGCTATGCTCATGGCACCCGTCCTTAGCATCTATGACCCCACCCTGCCGACGCGAGTGACTACGGACGCTTCCGGCTATGGCATTGGGGCAGTCTTGGAACA